CCCCAAAACCCCAAAACCCCAAAACCCCAAAACCCCAAAACCCCATAAATAATGTAAGAAGGTTATCTCTAAGCTTATTACATAATAAATTAAGGTGAATAAAATTATATGCTTTATGTTCAAATTATTTATTGCTGATCTGATGAGTATTTTCAAAAGGCTAGCTCAGTCATATTAGCCATTGGAAACATTCCTTCAATATTATCCAACATATCTGTTGTTATTCCAGGGTATAGACACCCTTAAATCTTTCTTCTCCTGTCTAGTTCAATCTTAGTTTGATTAGCTCTTTCTATAATCTAATTTATTCTTTTTTACTAGTCCATTTCTTATTTATTTCTAATTTCTTTATCGAAGTCGTGGCCCATAATCAATCCTTCACAGGCTAATATAATCTGTTGCTCTAATTAGCTAGCATCTCTGTCTAAGATTTGTAGCTCTTCTTATTCTTCGTTAGTTTATTCAGAGCACTTACCACCAGGCTGGCTTTTCTGCAAGTTTGTGAAGCACTTCGTCAGTTAAGAATTGAACTTCTTCGCAAATCTGACATCTTACTCAATGTTGAATTTCATCATGAGTTGATATCTGAAATTCTAACTTTCAATTAACTCTCCTCCTTATCTCTAAATAGCTTAAATAGTTTTGAAGAACATTGTGTTCTAGAGCTCCTGAGGGATGATCTAGAAGATATTTAACTGATTACAAGTACTATTGCCATTTCTGTTGTTGTTTTTAATTATGCTCAAGAGAGTCTTTGCAAAGCTCTTGATAATGAATTTTATTTTAATATTAAAGTAGTCTCTTTTAAGCTGCTCAGGAAGGATATCAGCATCTTCGTAGACCTTTGTCTCTTTAGCGAATTCCTCTATCCCACTTGTTGATTACAGAATTTGATCGAGCATACTTATGATTGATTATCTAATTATTTTATCGATCTTTTCTATCTTGGCAGAATTTTGGGGCATCTCATTGTTCTCCTTAGTATATCTCTTGACAACTCTATACATCTTAGAAAGAGTATCCTTGATATAGTAAATATTGTGAATGTAGCCGTTAGAATGAGTATCGAACATAATCTCTAAGAAGAATTTAGAGATGGTACCAATATGAATAGACAAGAACTCTTATCTCCATACTTAATTTATTATTTGACCAAGAACTCCGTCAGAAATGTGTTGGTTGTATAGGGCAGACTCTATTAGAATTCCCTTTTTAACCAAGTATTCCAATAAGCACTCTGTAACAATTTGGTTATTCAAGACCTTCTTCGAGATCGATTTAACATGGTCGTTGAGTGTGATAGCCTTATCAAGAAGTTCGACTTTATCATTATTTCTGATGGCTTCATTTATGACTCTTCTCATTTCAATATTATGAGCAAGCGCCATTTATTTCACTTAGGTCAAGATATATTTCACTATTGCTTCACAGTCACTATCATTAATAGTCTGAAAATTCAAGAGGCTTTAAACAGTGTAAGATGAACTTATGGCTTAAATTTATTTATTAAGTTCAACGAGTTTTAGTTCTACTTCGCTCTTGGTTTTATTGTAAAATATAGTCTATTTATGTTTCTCAACTAAGATTTTGTCGGTCTTAGAAAAAGCTTTATCTAATTTGAATGATGATCTAGAAAGTCTTGGAAGCAAATATTGGTTATCAGCGCATTAACTTGGATCCAAATATAGCTCTCTAGCAAACTATGTCGCGTCAACCATGAAATTCTCCATAAGAGAATTAGAATGCTTATCAACAAATTGCTTCTTATTATTGATAAGAATTTAATAGGCTGATTGTAACTCTCCCATCATTTATTTGTTCTCAAATTCAAATAAGTCTCCTATATTTTCAGTTAGAAAATTAGATTAAGAATTGGATTATTAAGAACAATTGTAAAGTTAGAAAGGTTGGTCCTTCTCTACAATCGCACCAGCTTAATCAAACATGAACTATTTGTTAAAGCAACCCAAATCACCCTCATAGAAATCAGAATTTGTTGCAGCTGTATCCCTCTTTCTTAAATCCTAAAATTAATTTCCGAATTGGGAGGAGGAGTCTAAGAATTGTTGAAAGAAAAAATTTTAGTAGGCATCTATCATAACTTTAGAGAAGTAAGCGTCATTGATGACCTTAAGTCTCAGTGATTTATTGCAAAGTACAGTTCTATTAATTTCTTCACAATTTAAATACTCGAAAACAACCATCAGGGTGTTCTTATTAAGACTCTTATGCAAGTGGATTTTTTATCCAATTTTAGCCATACTTTTGCTGTCGTCGTATTGCTGATACTCTCTCTTCTCAAATAGCCCACTTTCAGTGTTCATACCAAAGAAAGCTGAATCATCAAAAAATTATTAATTGTTGAAAGTTGACTCAAAAAACATTTTCCTATTTAATTAGTTTTAAATTATTATATTTTATTTGGGATACAGGATAGTTTATATACTACTAAAAGCTTGCATCTTCTGATAAATAATTCCAGTCTTCTAAAAAAGAAAATTCCACTTTCATGGGGTTTTGGGGTTTTGGGGTTTTGGGGTTTTGGGG